GCGGGTGAGGCGCGGCCGCGGCGGCTCGGCCGGCCCCGGTGCCCCTCGGCGCGGCTCCTCACCCTCCCTCTGTCTTTTCCAGGCGCCGCAGCAAGTGGGATCAGCCCGGCCCGGCGCCTAATTTCCTGCTGGCCGGCACGGCGCCGCTGCCCGGGCGGCCGTTCCCCGGTGGGGGCGGCGATGGCGGCGCCGCCGTGGCCGGGTCCGAGAGCTCGGCGGCGCCCTCGGGAGCGCTGGATGCGGCCGCGGCCGTGGCGGCGAAGATCAACGCGATGCTGATGGCCAAAGGGAAGCTGAAGCCGGCGCCCAGCACGGCGGACAAGGTGGGTGGGTGGGCGCGGGCGGTGCTTCGCGGAACTGGCTGCGATGAAAGCAGTCGGAAAGGATTTTAAAACTGGTTTTCAGCGTAATGAAAAGCAGTGGATGGCTGTGAGGTCAGGCAGCTGTGAGGTTTTACCAAAGCCACCTGCAGGGAGGTGATAAAGTGGTTTTTTGTCTCAGAAGCGTGGAATATTCGGAGTTGTAAGGGAGCCACGAGGATTTTCCAGAGAGCAGAGCTGATGGAAAACTCCCGTGTGAAACAAATGCTTTAAAACACGGGGCCAAGTTATTTCTGTGCCTGAAGAGGTTCCCAAAGTGAGCTGTATATCCAAATCCTAACCATGCATTCAGCTTTTCCTGAGCCCTGCCCCGAGCTGGGTTGACCCAGATGAGCTCAGGCATTGCACTGGATGCTCCCTGTGTTCCCCTTAAACAATCTCTGAGTTTTCTATTTTAAACCAAGTGTGGCTTCAAGCTGCTTTTCCAGTCCCAGTCACATTCTTGTCTTGCTCTTGTGCCTGTCCTCAGCCTGTGCTGGAGCCAAGTTCAGAAGCTCTTTCAAGTTTCATGCAGTAATTGCAGTGTGCTTTCTGTGTAAAGGTTTTGCCTTCAACAGCTGAAAGGGGTGAACGAGAAGGATGTTATTCTGTTAATTCTGTTAATATTCTATTAATATTCTATGAATATGTGCTGAAGATAAATCCAGTTTATTTGGGCTGGGAGGAGGCAGATCCAGCAATAATTCCAATGTGCTTTCCACTAATTTCTGTAAAGATTTTAAAATCTATAAAGATTTTTTTCAGTGTCCAATCTGTAAAGATTTTCCCTTCAACAACTGAAAGGGGTGAGCAAGAAGGATGTTATTCATTCTATTAATATTCTATTAATATTTGCTGGAAATAAATCCCAATTTATTTGGGCAGATCCAGCAGTAGCTCCAATGTGTTTTCCTGTGCAATCTGTCAAGATTTTGCAATCTGTAAAGATTTTTTTCAATGTGCAATCTATAAAGATTTTCCCCTCAACAGCTGAAAGGGGTGAACAAGAAGTTCCACATCATGTACAGAGCAGACACGTTAATTACTCTGTTAATATGTGCTGGAGATAAATCAAATTTATTTGGGCTTATTCGCAGTAGCTCCAATGTGCTTTCCTGTGCAATCTGTCAAGATTTTACAATCTGTAAAGATTTTTCCAGTGTCCAATCTGTAAAGATTTTGCAGTCTGTAAAGATTTTTGCAATGTGCAGTCTGTAAAGATCTTTTCCATGTCCAATCTGTAAAGATTTTACAATCTGAAAAGATTTTTTTAGTGTGCAATCTGTCAAGATTTTACAATCTGTAAGGATTTTTTCAATGTCCAATCAGTAAGGATTTTTGCATGTCCAATCAGTAAGGATTTTTGCATGTCCAATCAGTAAGGATTTTTGCATGTCCAATCAGTAAGGATTTTTGCATGTCCAATCAGTAAGGATTTTTGCATGTCCAATCAGTAAGGATTTTTGCATGTCCAATCAGTAAGGATTTTTGCATGTCCAATCAGTAAGGATTTTTGCATGTCCAATCAGTAAGGATTTTTGCATGTCCAATCAGTAAGGATTTTTGCATGTCCAATCAGTAAGGATTTTTGCATGTCCAATCAGTAAGGATTTTTGCATGTCCAATCAGTAAGGATTTTTGCATGTCCAATCAGTAAGGATTTTTGCATGTCCAATCAGTAAGGATTTTTGCATGTCCAATCAGTAAGGATTTTTGCATGTCCAATCAGTAAGGATTTTTGCATGTCCAATCAGTAAGGATTTTTGCATGTCCAATCAGTAAGGATTTTTGCATGTCCAATCAGTAAGGATTTTTGCATGTCCAATCAGTAAGGATTTTTGCATGTCCAATCAGTAAGGATTTTTGCATGTCCAATCAGTAAGGATTTTTGCATGTCCAATCAGTAAGGATTTTTGCATGTCCAATCAGTAAGGATTTTTGCATGTCCAATCAGTAAGGATTTTTGCATGTCCAATCAGTAAGGATTTTTGCATGTCCAATCAGTAAGGATTTTTGCATGTCCAATCAGTAAGGATTTTTGCATGTCCAATCAGTAAGGATTTTTGCATGTCCAATCAGTAAGGATTTTTGCATGTCCAATCAGTAAGGATTTTTGCATGTCCAATCAGTAAGGATTTTTGCATGTCCAATCAGTAAGGATTTTTGCATGTCCAATCAGTAAGGATTTTTGCATGTCCAATCAGTAAGGATTTTTGCATGTCCAATCAGTAAGGATTTTTGCATGTCCAATCAGTAAGGATTTTTGCATGTCCAATCAGTAAGGATTTTTGCATGTCCAATCAGTAAGGATTTTTGCATGTCCAATCAGTAAGGATTTTTGCATGTCCAATCAGTAAGGATTTTTGCATGTCCAATCAGTAAGGATTTTTGCATGTCCAATCAGTAAGGATTTTTGCATGTCCAATCAGTAAGGATTTTTGCATGTCCAATCAGTAAGGATTTTTCCATGTCCAATCTGTAAAGATTTTACAATCTGAAAAGATTTTTTTAGTGTGCAATCTGTCAAGATTTTACAATCTGTAAGGATTTTTCCGTGTGCAATCAGTAAGGATTTTTCCATGTCCAATCTGTAAGTATTTTACAATCAGTAAGGGTTTCTCCATGTGCAATCAGTAAGGATTTTTGCATGTGCAATCAGTAAGGATTTCTCCATGTGCAATCAGTAAGGATTTTTCCGTGTGCAATCAGTAAGGATTTTTGCATGTGCAATCAGTAAGGATTTTTCCGTGTGCAATCAGTAAGGATTTTTCTGTGTGGAATCAGTAAGGATTTTTCCGTGTGCAATCAGTAAGATTTGCCCTCAGCACGTGGGCGGTGTGACCAGGGGCCCCGGGTCTGTGTGTGCTCTGTCCCACTTTGCCCCTGTGTGAAGCTGCAGGCCCTGGGGAAAGGCCCGGCCGCGAGCAAGAGCAAGGATGACCTGGTGGTGGCAGAGGTGGAGATCAACGACGTCCCCCTGACCTGCAGGAACCTGCTGACCAGGGGCCAGACCCAGGACGAGGTGGGTCCCACACCGAGCCTGGAGAGCTCTCCTGGGAGCCTCAGGGAACAAGGGGCACGCTGTTGTCTCGTGTATTCCTGAGGATGTGGCTTGGAGGTTGGGTGGGCTAAAAACAATTGGTGTGTTGGGTACACAGTCACTGCAGCTGTGGCAGAATGATGGAGAGAGTCAGAGTTTTTCATGATTGTCTTGTGGCCTGCTGTCTGTGTGCTTTCTCTGTGCTGTAGTGTGTTTTAGTATAGCAGTCTTTAATATTATGTAATATCATATAATAAGATGTAGTGTAATAATAAACTGTACTGCAGTATAATATATTGCAACATAGTATAAGGCAATATAACACAATAACACAATATAACACAATATGACACAACACAATATAACACAACACAATATAACACAATATAACACAATACAATATACCACAATATACCACAATATAACACAATATAACACAATACAATATAACAATATAACACAACACAATATAACACAATATAACACAATACAATATACCACAATATACCACAATATAACACAATATAACACAATACAATATAACACAATACAATATAACACAATACAACAACACAATATAACACAGTATAACACAATATAACACAATATAACACAACACAATATAACACAATATAACACAGTATAACACAATATAACACAATATAACACAACACAATATAACACAACACAATATAACACAACACAATATAACACAAGTAAGTATTTTACAATCTGTAAGGATTTTTCCATGTGCAATCAGTAAGGATTTTTTCAATGTCCAATCAGTAAGGATTTTTCTGTGTGGAATCAGTAAGGATTTTTCCGTGTGCAATCAGTAAGGATTTTTCCGTGTGCAATCAGTAAGATTTGCCCTCAGCACGTGGGCGGTGTGACCAGGGGCCCCGGGTCTGTGTGTGCTCTGTCCCACTTTGCCCCTGTGTGAAGCTGCAGGCCCTGGGGAAAGGCCCGGCCGCGAGCAAGAGCAAGGATGACCTGGTGGTGGCAGAGGTGGAGATCAACGACGTCCCCCTGACCTGCAGGAACCTGCTGACCAGGGGCCAGACCCAGGACGAGGTGGGTCCCACACCGAGCCTGGAGAGCTCTCCTGGGAGCCTCAGGGAACAAGGGGCACGCTGTTGTCTCGTGTATTCCTGAGCATGTGGCTTGGAGGTTGGGTGGGCTAAAAACAATTGGTGTGTTGGGTACACAGTCACTGCAGCTGTGGCAGAATGGAGAGAGTCAGAGTTTTTCATGATTGTCTTGTGGCCTGCTGTCTGTGTGCTTTCTCTGTGCTGTAGTGTGTTTTAGTATAGCAGTCTTTAATATTATGTAATATCATATAATAAGATGTAGTGTAATAATAAACTGTACTGCAGTATAATATATTGTAACATAGTATAAGACAGTATAACACAATAACACAATATAATACAATACAATATAACACAATACAACACAATATCACACAACACAATATAACACAATACAATATAACACAATATAACACAACACAATATAACACAATATAACACAATACAATATAACACAATATAACACAACACAATATAAGACAATACAGTATAACACAACACAATATAACACAACACAACATAACACAATATAACACAACACAATATAACACAGTATAACACAGTATAACACAGTATAACACAATATAACACAACACAGTATAACACAGTATAACACAGTATAACACAGTATAACACAGTATAACACAGTATAACACAGTATAACACAATACAACGTAATATAACATGGTATAATACTATGATATGATATACTACAATAGGATTATAATATGCTATAATATAATGTACTATAATATAACATACTATTCTATAATATAACACAACACAATAATATAATATACTATAGTATAATATACTATACTGTAATATACTATTCTGTAATATAATATACTATGATATGACATACTATAATATGGCATAATATACTATAATATGTTGTGCAATAATATACTATTCTATAATATGCTATAATACATAATATAATGTAATATATACTGCAATGTAATAAGTTTTATATAATACATACTATAATATATTATGGCATATGTACTATATAATATAATATATATACTATTATATATTATACTATACCGTTATATATACTATAATATATTACATTATATATTCACTAATATATACAATAGCATAGTATATGTAGTATAATGTATTATATAATGTATAACATAATATAATATATATTATATTACATTATATTATGTTATGTTATATTATGTTACATTATGTTACATTATGTTACATCATTATATTACATTATATTATATTATATTATATTATATTATATTATATTATATCATATCATATCATATTATATTAATTGGCTTTCTAAGGACATGCAGTCAGATTGATCTTTTCCTCCCCTCAGCCAGGGCACCCTGCAAACACCACCCCCAGCAGCTGAGCTGAGCTGAGGCTCAGCACCTGTCCTGGGTTCCAGCTGGGACAGAGTGAATTTGTCCCAGTGGTGCCTCAGGGTTTAGTTTTTGTGTTTTTCAGGCTCTGTGCTGCTTTAGTGGGTGGGTCTGGGTTTCATGTCAGGGCACGGTGAGCTCTGCACAGAGCAGGACACAAAACAATTCCTGCTGCAGCTGGGGACCAGGAACAAATGATCCAAATCTCAGCCCAAGAGCACAGACAGCGTGGGCTGGAGAGAGAAAACAACAAAAATGGGACTGCATGGGCTAAACTGTAATTAAACAATTAACTCCAACATGCTAATGAACCTAAACTTATAAAAGTGTGAGATCCTGTCCATTTTTGTGACCATTTTTAATGGAGCCCATCCTGGCTGGGCTCTTGTGCTGCTCAGGGTGGATCTGTTGAGGCCTTTTAATAAATCCCAGCTTTGTTAATTTGAATTAACTCTGTCCAACCTCTGTTCTAAATCAGCCTTCACGAGGCATCAGTTTTGACTTCAGAGGCAGCATCAGTCTCCTAGCACTTAATTAATCATTTCTGGGGGTTTTTACAAGAACATGGTTTGAGTTCTGGTGTTCTGTGTGAGCCTTGTTTGTGGTGGGCAGGTGTTTCACTGGATTTTATATTTTTTCCACTGGGCTTTGTACATTTTTTTCACTGGGTTTTGTACATTTCTTTTCACTGGGTTTTGTACATTTTTTCCACTGGGTTTTCTACATTTTTTCCACTGGATTTTTTTCCTTTTTTTCCACTGGATTTTGTACATTTTTTCACAGGGTTTTGTACATTTTTTCCACTGGATTTTGTACATTTTTTTCACTGGGATTTATACATTTTTTCACTGGGATTTTGTACATTTTTCCACTGGGATTTTGTACATTTTTTTCACTGGGTTTTGTACATTTTTTCCACTGGGATTTGTGCATTTTTCCACTGGATTTTGTACATTTTTTCCA